CTCCGACACAGCTCCTGCTTCTTCCCATACATTCCCAACACCATAAAATGCCAGCCCAGATTTTTAACCCCTCAGAAATTCACTCTGAGGAAGCAAAAAACTTTAAGTTCTTATTTCAGCAAGTGAGAAAATTGAGGAACCTCAGAGGTTCTGGTGAGAACCACAAGGAGCTGCTCAGCTGCCTGCTGGAGGTTTGGGAGAAAACAGGAATTATGTTCCAGCATCAGCCACGGGGAGGGGAATCACGGAATCCTGTAGGATGGAAAACATCTCCAAGCCATCCATTCCCAGCACTGCCAAGGCCACCTCATGTCCCCAAGTGCCACATCCACATGGATTTTAAATCCCTCCTGGCATGGGGACTCCATCCCTGCCCTGTGCAGCTGTGCCAGGGCTGGAGAAGTTTTCCAGGAAGGAATTTTCCCAAATATCCACCCTGAGCTGCCCTGGCCCAGCCTGGGGCCGTTCCCTCTGCTCCTGTCCCTGTTCCTGGAGCAGAGGGACACTCCCGGCTGTCCCCTCCTGGCAGGAGCTGTGAGAGCCACAAGGGCCCTGAGTCTCCTGGGGATCTGTTGGTCTCCAGGCTGGTCCTGCTGCCCCGTTCCAGCTCCAGCTCCTGTGGGATCTTTCCCTGCTTGCCCGGCAGGAAGCTTTTAGGTTCTCAGCCAGAGGTGGATCAACTCATGGAAGCTCAGGGAGGTGACACAAAAGCAGCAGGAGGAACAGGATCTCCCCTTTCAGGACCTGTCAGACTCCCTCAGTCCAGAACTAAACCAGCCTGCAGTTAATTCCAAGCTATGCCAACCAAAAATCAGGGATATTTAGTCTCCAGTGCTCCCACCTCACCTCTGACCACACATGCCCACCCTCTTCCCCACACAGCAGCCCTGCTACTCCTCCTAATTCACTGAAGAACAACACAAAACCCAAACCCTCATCTTGTTCCCTTTAGTTTTGCATGCTCAGACTCCTGGCAAGTGATATCCTGCAGGAATCTGACTGGTGCATCCCTTCATGGAACAAAAGGAACAGCAGGAATTGGGCACTTCTGGAAATTACAGCAGGTACTGAGCTGCCCCTGTTCAACACAAAAGTCTGACCCCAGCTCTTCCAGTTTTGGGATCAGAAGATCTCATTCTCTCACATTTCACTCCAACATTATAAAGGCTGAATTAACAAAACCCATTCTCTTTCAGCTGCTAATCAAGCTTTTCAGCCCCAACCTTTTCTTCTCAGGAGGCATTAAAATACTTATTTTGGAGGAAAATCTGTGTGTATCAGCATTCCCTCCACCAAAACCACTCTAAGCAGCTTAATGCAGGATACTGTAACAGGATCTTAAGGTAGAGATATTTTCTTTCCAGTTTATGCCTGGAACAAACTTCTGACATGTTGGAATATGAGGAATCAGGCTAAAGTAAAAAGATCCCCAGCACAGGTTATTAATCCCAAATTCGATATATAGTCAAAATCTCT